AGAATTTTCCCACAATGATATGAGTTAAGCTGACGTTTCCATTGAATTTCGCATAGCCTTGCTTTCCCAAAAGTTGTTCTCATCCGGGGGTCGAGTCACAATAATAATTTTCAATGTCATCTGGATCCCAGTGATCCAGCACAATGGTCTGCAAACCGCATGATTTTATTGGGAGGATTTTTATATCATATCGTAAAGTTACCTAAAGCGACGTTTATATATGCTCCCAGCCATGGCGGCAACAGCTTCGATTATATAGACCTCGTTATGATATGATTTTGCTAGTATATTAATGCCAGGTAGCCTATATAGAAAGTGATGTCTGTGCGACAGTAGTTTTAGCAAAAATTGTGGTTTGACCGCCCTCTTAGTTGGTTCTGGCAGCTTTTGAGATAAGATAAGAACCAAGAAGAAAAGAAGATACGGATATGACAATATCCAATGGGCCATCAGACTTAAGTGAAATTTCTAATAAACTGGACAAATATAAAAACGAAAATGCCTGAATAGTTAAGATCGGAGATAATTTCATTGAGCGCCTAGAGGATCTACTTCTAGCTTGGCTCAGGGAGACCCTTGGAACGTGTACATTATTAATGAAGAAGTTGAGACTAAGTCGAGCTAAATCCATGGTTAGTAGAATTGTTCGTTTTATCAAAAACAAAAGAGGATAAGCATGTTCTGCGGTGACTAAATTATTAGGAAAACGACTCTCGGCCAAGTTAGGGAAGCATAGAGTCTGAATATAGAGTAAATACTGAGAATGTAAACCAAACCATAAGTGATTATCATAACAGTACGGGGCAAGACAATTCACCACATTTTTCTTAGCAAAATGCCGACTTTCGAGTATACAAGAAAAGCTTAGAAGAGCCTAGCGAAACGTCGACATCAGAACTAATAAATAAGCCTATAGATAGATAGATAGATTTAGCTATACTAATGGTGCGCTGATTAGATAGCAGGAGGTAAGATAAGCACAGAATATTAGGAACTTTACTAACTTCTTCTGGTAGCTCATAAAAAGGCAAATGGGTTTTAATGAGTCTTGGCGATGGCCTGCATGCAATTTCTTTAGGTCCAGGCCATATATATTCCAGGTAGGGCACTCGCGCCTCCAAGTTATCTCGAAGCGCAGCCGACCAGTTTAGTCGGGTGACGAGCAAGAATACAAGTTCTGAGATCCAGGTGGTACCCGACTTTGGATAGCTCGCCAGAATTACGTCGGTAGGAGAAAGAGTTGCTGCAAGATAATTACGGGCTTGGGCAGCCCCTTTGGCCAGTTCGATCGGGAGTAGATAGTGCCGGAAACCAGCATCGATGGCCTCTGCGTCTCCCGAAATAGAAGAGACAGCCTTTATGATGAGATTGTCTGGTTGTTTAACAATATTGTTAGAAGTAGGCCTTGGTACTGGACAGAGCTTCATCCTGAACCCCGTGAATTCGGGGTCTCTAGGCAACCAGCCTTCCTTAGCCTCATTGGCTGCTTGCCGATGACATAAATATACACATAGAATAATGATACCAA